CTCTCTCTCTCTAGTTTTTCTATTTCCATCTCTCCCTTTGGTTTTCAGTCTTTTCAAGTACAAAACCCCTAAAGCCCCAAAGAACAACACCAAATCTGAATGTTTTTGCCCTGAATATCCCAAATACTGAGCAAAATCTGGGCAAAAATATGGTTCTTTCTCTGTAAAATTTTTTGGTCAGTTTTTTTTATAGCATTCTCTGTCTAGATTTTTGTTTTCGTTTTTATTGCATTTTTGCCTCGATTTTGTTTTCATTTCTTGAATATCCTGAGTACTGAGCAAAACCCTGTGTATATATGGTTCTTTATATGTAGCATTTTTTGCCCTGATTTTTTTATAGCATTTTTTTCCCAGATTTTTGCTTTCATTTTTAAAGCATTTTGCCCAGTATTGGAATATCGTTGCAGTACTGTTTATATGTGTAAAAATGGGTGAAAATGTAAAAGTTGGGGAAAATGCCCTCTCTTTGTCTGATATATAAAACTAGACACCGTTGATTTAAACCAATATGTGTTCAAGGGCATAGTTCAAGAAATGCATCCAACGTCTTCCTCCTTCAAAAGCTTAAAACTAAGATAAGAGTTAGTGGTGAGATTTTATTGGATGGAAATATATGACCAGCGCAATGTGGTTGTAAGACTTCTTATTCGTTCTAATTAATATGTGTAGGCTAGAAAGGAAAAACACACTATAGTGATGAGATTTTTACCTTTTCTACCTTAACTCCAAAATTATTTCAGACAACGTGCTTTATCGCGTTGGGGCATGAGTTGAAAACAGTTATTTAATTTTCCGTTAGAAAGGTAAAGTAAAAGCAACAACAATATATCATAATATGATCATTTGATATATCTTAGTATGCTCATACGAAACTTTCTTATGCTTTTGGACTCTTATAACAGCTTTAAGTTTGATAAAGTAGCGTATGGTAGCAATTTGATTTCATTTTTTTGGCAAACTTATGGTTTTTAACCCTGAGTATATATGGTAGCATGACTTACACTCATATTTAAGGGACTACATGGTTCTTGATTATTTGGCCTGCTGAAATTCCAAGGTTAACTGATGCCTATGTATTATGTTTGGAGTTTGAAATGAGTGGTGTTAATGTTTCTTGCCCAGATTTTTTTGTAGCAATTTGATTTCGTTTTTTGACAAATATATGGTTTTTAACCCTGTGTATATATGGTAGCATGACTTACAATCATATTTAAGGGCCTACATGGTTCTTAATTATTTGGCCTGCTGAAATTCCAAGGGTAACTGATGCCTATGTATTATGTTTGAAGCTTGAAATGAGTGGAGTCAATGTTTCTTGCCCAATTTTTTTATAGCAATTTGCTTTCATTTTTTTGGCAAACATATGGTTTTTAACCCTGTGTATATATGGTAGCATGATTTACACTCATATTTAAGGGCCTACATGGTTCTTGATTATTGGCCCTGTTGAAATTCCAAGGATAGCTGATGCCTATATATTATGTTTGGAGCTTGAAATGAGTGGAGTCAATGTTTCTTGCCCAGATTTTTTAGTAGCAATTTCCTTTCAGTGTTTTGGCAAATATATGGTTTTGAGTATTCTTATGATGAAGGTTTATACATGTATTTTTGTAGTTTGCAGTTTCACGTTGGGTAAGTCAAAAAATGGAGATGGATCCCACGAATTCAGTCGGTGTAGCATCTAGCATATATCCAAATGTAGGCAGTATTGACGAAATCCCGGATGGTGGTTGTGGCTCACCAAACAAGAGTCACGAAATAGAAGAACTATGTATAGGAATGATGTTTGGATAAGAGGATGATGCATATGAGATCTTTAAGTCTTATGCATTCACCAAAGGTTTTGGTATTCGCAGGGGGAGTACTCATACCAAGAAAAGTAAATGGTTCGATACAGTTTATGTTTGCTCCAAGGAAGGCTTTAAACAAGAAAAACCTAATAAAAGGGGAAAAGTTTATCCTGAGTTAAGGTGTGGGAACAAGGTTAGGATGTGCATAAGTAGTCAAGAAAACGGCGAGTGGAAAGTGACTAGCATGTTTATAGATCATAATCAGGATCTAGTTAGTCCAAAAAAAGCTCGTCTAATTCGCACGCATCGATCATTGTCGATCATTGATACATTCAATGAGCTCGACAATGGTTAAGCCTAGATATATTCATGACATATTCATATAGCAGGCTGGAGGGATCGACAATGTCCCTTATACACAAAGGGACATTCAAAATGAAATAACAAGTGCTCGAAAAAAACTTAGAGGAGAAGATGGCAATTTAATTTTGCAATGGATCTATAAAAAGAACCATCATTTTTTATAGATTAAGATTAGATGAAGAGAATCACATTCACGGTATCTTATGGGTTGATTCTACATCTAAAATTTCCTATCAGTGCTTCTCTGATGTGGTTATCTTTGATACCACATACAAGACAAATGTATTTGGTATGCCCTTTGCACCTATACTTGGTGTAAATCACCATTTCAGATCAACTTTCTTTGGGTTTGCACTCATATTTGACGAGAAGATAGAATCATTTATATGGGTATTTGAAAACTGGTTGGAAGCCATCGGTGGACGACAACCAGGCATTATTCTCACTGATCAAGATCCTGTAATTTCATATGCAGTGAGGCAAGTTCTTTACCAAAGTAAGCATCATTATTGTAAGTGGCACATATTTGCGAAGATCAAAGAAAAAATGTGTCATGTCTTGCACATGCATCCTTCTTATTCAGATACCTTTAAGAAGTGTGTGGCTAGCCCAACAATTGAAGAATTTGAATCGGCTTGGAAATCAATGATGGATAATTATAACCTGGAAGACAATGAATGACTGAGTAGGCTTTATGATTGTCACATGCAATGCGTCCAGACACATTCACTGCGGGTACGACTTCTACTCAAAGGAGTGAATGGATGAATATGATTTTCAAAATGTACTTGACACCCACAACAAGCTTGCGTGCATTATTAGAAGTTGTTGCAAAAGTCAATGATAAGAAAGTGCGAAAAGAGAGGGAAAATGACTTGAAAGATATTCAAACTACTCCAGTCTTGCGAACAACCACTTTCATTGAGACATATGCATAAAAAATCTATACTCAAAAGATTTTAAAGATATTTGGGGAAGAAGTGGCTAATTGCTTTAATTTTACGAGGGAGACAGTTGAAGACAATGGACAGGTTGCAACCTTTAAGGTGGCAGTCCCAGGGACCGGAACTAAATCCTACTTAATGAAATTCAATTGCCATGGCAATTCCGTTTCTTGCTCTTGTCACTTCTTTGAGAGGATTGACCTTTTTTGTAGGCATGTCCTGAAGATTTTTATGGTCAAAGATATGTTTGAAATCCCTCCACAAAATATAAAGAAGCGTTGGACCAAGGATGTAAAGAAGGGAATTTTTCTTGATGAAATTGGGGAACAAATTCAAGTAACATCTAAATTACCACGCTCCATTAGATATAACGAGGTTATGCAGGCAAGTCAATCCTTTGCCAAGCGTGCTTCACAAAATGTAGAGGGTTATGAGTTTGTAATGTCCATAATAAAAAATGGAATTCATCAGTTTGATGAAATATTCATATGCAAGAGAGGTCAAAATGATAATGCTATGATCTATGTCAATGAAGATGCCAATTTTGCTAGTTGTAGTAACACACCAAGTGGAAGTAATCATTGTCTTAATGTACTTGAATCTGCACGAGCACGGACAAAGAGACGATCGGCCACTAAAAGAATGAAAGCTCGGTCTGAGGGATGGAAGCTGAAAAAAAGGAAATGCACAGTATGCAATGGAAGTGGACATGATAAAAGGAACTGCCTATCGTTTGTTTCTGATAGGTACAACTACAGACCGTTACATTATTTTTATTTGCAATTGTATTATCCTCATTATTGTTGATGTATTTGATTTACACTTGTATTAGCTTCAAGTTAATTGCTAACATATGAATTTATTTTCCTCTTATAGCGCTAAGGACAAAACACATCGTATACTTTGGATCCATAAGAGGTGAGTTGATGATAAGATCCATTTGCATCAAATCCATCCATATAGGAGTGGTAACTAGTGAAGTGTTGGGTTTGTTGTGTTAACACGTCGTATGCTTATTTGAATTTTTTTTTTTAAAGAACCGTCTAATGGGATTAGTATCCATCAAAGTATATTTAAAAATTGAATTTGACTTGCAGCCTGATTGATTTAAAGTTTGACTTAGGATCTGCTTTTGTCATCTTAGCATCAGTTGTTCATAAATCGAGAAGATATGAATTCCTTGAAGGTATTCTATTAAACAATATCTTTTTCATGATCCGTGCAAGTTCTTATCTTTTTTCGCGATCCATGCAAGTTATGATAATTTGTCCCTGTCTTTATGCAGATCTTGTGCCGCATAAAGTGAAAGCAAGCTGCAGATGCTTTAATTCCTTCTCTCTCTATGCAATGTGTTGTATGCTGAAGAATTTTTGTTGCATGTGTGTATTTATTGTTCATATATGGATGGGGATGAATTCTAGAATGCGTATGGCTTTTTCTTACTTGCTTTCCTTACTGAGGATTTCTAGTGGTTCTTGCTGCTAGTCCATGTGGAACAGATTCTCTCTCTCTCTCTCTTTAATGTCTCTATATGGATAATCTATCTCTCTCTTTAATGTATTCATATGGATAATCTCTCTCTCTCTCTCTCTCTCTCTCTCTCTTTAATGTCTTCTTGGTGGTTCCTGATATGGAGCTCTGTGCATTTGGATTTCTTAAGCTTGATGGTTTCATAAGTTTAATAGGGAAGCAGTTGGTATACATCAAAACCATTTATTAGTTGGTGAACCATCTAACAAGTTCTACACCTGAGAATTTCATGAATCCTATTATAAGAGAGAAGAACTACAATGCTTTGGACTACAAGAAGGTGGCTTGCATTTGTGAGAAGTTCAAAGATTCACCAGACAGGTTGTTGGGGAGCTTGACAAGCTGAAATTTGAAGCAAACTGCACAAAAGAGGTCAATGGATGCGTTGAAGTAATTGAAGGACCTCAGCTGATGAATTTGTCAGGTGGAAGGATGGCCTTAGAGGATCCTTAAAGTTCATTTATTTTTATTTACTTTTTATACCTTTTAAAATAGATATGTTTTTTGTATGTAGGAATTTTTTGCATTGGGCTGCCATTGTTGTTTGTTTATTTCTGGGAAATTTGGATGCTTTCCTGAGTAATGTTGACCATGTTTTGGCATGTTATTTCAATGGTGCAAATTGAACGTGCATTTCTTAATATATGTATGTAATTATTTAGATTTTATAATTATTTAGATTGTCTGAATTGGCATCTACCTATGATCTTGTTTCTTTTTCAATAAGATCATGTGTGTGTGTATGCGCTGAAATACTTTTGGAATGAGATTCTTGCTACCCATTTGGCAGCATAGCAGCATGCCTTAGAATAGGTATTGAAAAGTACCTGTTCACAAGATCTAGAGTGGCCTTGCTTTAGAGACCCCTTACCAAGTACTAAAGAGCCTAGACCCTATATAATAAGTAAAGGTACCTTCAGAAAGCATTTTTTGCTAGATTAAATTCCCAGGAAGAGATAATCACAGTTTCTAAGCAATGTCATTAGGAACAAACTGGATCATTCAATCAGCGAAGGTAAAAAAGCTGGTGTGGTCAAAACTATTAGACTTTCTGATTCACTAGTCAGATCAATCTAGTTGCCATCCAAGTTTTTCACTCATTAGTTGGTATACATCAAGACCATTTATCAAATGATCAATTTCTATGTAATTTGGAATAAATTATAGTGTTCTCTTTTATCAAAGTGTAATTTAATGGGTAAAATTGTGAAATGGTCTTGATGTAAACAACTAATGAGTGAAAGTAAGTAGGGATTCATGACATGAGTAATTGGTTTGTTGGAACAGCAATATTCTTGTGAAGATAACCATGCCATGAGTTCTTTATGACCCTATGAAAACCTAAATGTACTTCGTCATTTGAATCATTTGACTGTGAAGTCAGTTGATCTGAGTGGAGATTCAATCAGTTACTCATTCGTCAATGAAAACCTAGGCAAAAGAGCAGCCACGATTCATATGAAGTTCAAGCCAAAGAAAATGGAATCTGAAAATAAAAAGATAAAGAAAATATTAGATTTGGAAAGAATGGGGTTGCAAATTAACACTAAAAAAATTAACACCTAGTCATTCAGCTTTCACCATTCAAATACCAAAACCTCAAACAATTAACACCTACTAATTCAACTTTCACCATCCAAAGCACTAAAGAAAATCTGATGCTTGAGAGAGAGAGAGAGAGAGATTATTGAATTATATTAATGTACAAATACATTAAAATGAAAATTGTTGATCCATAGAAGATAGAGAACAATAAGTGTATACAATTATAAATATATAGATACTATAAAACATATTCTCATTCTTTTTACAAAGAAAATGAGGGCAAACATCAATGTCATTAATAAAATTACACATGTGAGAAAAAAAATTTGAACGTCTGCTTTCTCAGGGACCATAGCAATAAATTTGCTCTTCTCTTTCTTAGCAAAGATGCATCTATTCTATCGGTAGCACAAGCATCTGGCCTCTGAGATACGAACCCTTTAACCACATGCTTTTTTTCTTCACCTAGAATTTCATCACACCACTCTAGATAGCCGCGTCCAGTCTCTTTCTAACGGTTAACACAATAAGATAAATGTATGTTAGATATATACTTACAATGGAACACAATATGTTTTTACATTATCTTAATGAAAGAATATTACATACCTTCCAGTTAAAGCATTTATAGAAATGTCTATTATAGTTATTGTGCGTCTTTGAAAGAAACACACGCATCCGACCACATCCTGGTTTGCATTTACAAAACCTTGGAGGGAATTGGTTGTCGAGATCCATTCAGTTAAAATGATTAGATGCACTCAAATGCCCTATTCTCACTCTATCACATCTATGGATTGCATCAGCCATTGAGGTGAACGTATGCAAACTATACCTTATCAGAGAGCAGAGGAAACACCAAATAACAAAAAGAAAATCATGATAGGGATTCATACACTTATCTTCAGAAGGAAACTCAATCTCGAAATCAATATAACAAAATCTGAGAGATAATGAAAGATAGTATACAAAATCAGCAAAAAAAATAAAAAATATATATTTATGTATGCATTCTAATAGTAAAGATTGACATAGGGCTTTATATATCTCCATAAAGCCTATGGTTAATAAGGATACCAAGATTAGATAAAATGAGTCTATATCACAATTTAATCTTAGTCGATCTACATATATGTCACAATTTTCAGAGCAAAAAAGGTGTACAATAGAGGAATGACACCTACCTCAGGCAATACCTTCTCAAATTTTGAAGACTACTTCCTAATAAAACTTTTTGGAACAAAGTGGTAAAAAAATTTCAACATGCTTCATCAGTTCATCTTCATATGGAAGTTCGAATTGGAAGCTATTGAATGGTGCTTGTGTTGGTTCATGTCACAACAAAGGCCAAAAATACTAAGTTTTATGAAACACTGCCTATCATCTAAATAAACTGAACATGAAAATAACATTCTTCACATAAAACCAACTGCAACAATAAAAAATAAAAAGAATACAGAAGGATAGTGATGAAAATTCAACAGTACTCCAAAGCCTACTCCTTAAATAGGCATTTCAAGCTCCAACATAATACATAGGGATCAATTACCATTGAATTCAGCAGGCCAAATAATCAAGAACCAAAAATAATGAGTGTAA